GCCAGCCTGAAGAAATTAAAACCACTCCTGCCTCCATGTGCACGTTACTTTGTTAACGTGATCAGCCAGAACCGCTGAAAATGTCCAGTGCGTCCTGGACTCATCCAGCAGTTTGTACAACCGAGACATAGAAAACACAACACGCAAGGCCACCTTTTGGTGCAAAATGGCTCGCACTGACACTGAAGACCCACAGATGGATAATTAAAACACCTACGCAACAAACTGGGATACTCAAAGTAAATAAAAGCCCTTGCCACCATGGTAACTGAGCATAAATCTCAGTACAAACTCCTGCCATCTCCACCAACTGCAATGGGAGGACTTTCATGCTTAAAACAAGGACATGTGCCCAGTCCAATGATGTAGACTTCTAATGCACCGCATTAATAACAAATACAAGATACAGCTGGTTTCTCCTATCATTTTTATTTTATTATCTGCTAAAGAATATCATGCCCTCATTTGTGTACACTGGCTCCCTCAGAGGAGAAGCAAGGAGAGCAGAGGACAGCCCAGGGTGGACCTCACCACCCCCGTGGCAGCTCGCCCAGCTCTGTGTGGGCTGGGACTTCTGGTTTTCGCTGGGGTTTGGAGGTTTTTGGATTGCATTTCTGGGATTTTGGTGGTGGTGGTTTGGAGGTGGTAGTGTTTGTATTACAAATGTCCTTCTGACAGCAGAAAGAGACTTTGGAAGAGGAAAGTCTTGGTGCTTCCTACTAACTTTGCATTTCTCTGATCTCGTCTTAGAGCAAGTTACAAGCTGGGTCTGCTGGACGTGGGGACCCTGAACTTGCACCCCTCTGCAGGGGATGAGGCCTGGTGAGGGAAAGACCACGAGCCTGTGCTCAGTGCTGGCCCCACAAGCACTAAAACCAGTGAGGTGCCATCAGCTCCTGTGCTTACGCAAGGGCATAAATATCTGCCCTGAGCAAGCCAGAGCAGGTGGCTGTGCGGCCCAAAAATGTCCTTCTGCCACTTCAGACAAGGGCGACAATGCTGGTTTGTGCTACAAATGTAAAGAAAATAAATGACTTCGAGCCTGCTGATTTTGTCTTCATCTAAAAGAATCTGGGAAAATTATTAATCCATAAAGCTGAGGAGAAATTGCTGCTTAAAAAAGGGGAGAAAAGAAATCGGAACAGCCGGTTTTGGTCTCCCTCCCTCCTCGCAGGCTATGCAGCCAGTGTGTGACTACAGATGTAAATGCACATGCAGGTGGGGCTCAGCTCTGCAACGCTGTGCGCGTCCCATATAACTTCCAGCACGGGAACAAGCGTGTTTCTTCACCTCTGTACGCTATCACAGATGGGTACTGGAGGGGATTCTCCCCGAGTTCGACCAGGGCATTTACCACTACCTAACTAATGCCTGTCCAAGGTCTGTAAAAATCGTGGTCTTCAGGTAGAGAAACCAGAAGAATCACAAGACTGACAACTGACTGCTCAAAAACATGCTCTGTTAAATTAGCAAGTATCTGACAAAAATTATGACGACCAAGTCAGCTGGTCCCTGAGCAGTGAAAGTGTTAATGGCAAAGTCCAATTCATTGCAGCCTAAGAAGCAGTGCCAAATTTGACTCCAATTATTGAATGCATTCAAAGCCCATTTATGGATTAAGATACATTTGCCTAGATCACTCTCTCATTACGGACTCCACGGATTTTGAAGAAAGAAATGAAGTTTCTCAGTTCAATCCACATAAAAATTGAAGTATTTGACTCAAAAGAAAGGGAATTCCTAATAGGCTGGGACATTACAAAGTCTGCATTAATATTTATCTGACAGGAGAGTATGACTCTCATGTGAAAGTAATGCTCTTCCCCCCCAAAAAAGCAGCAATAAAATCCCCAAAGATTCATCCCCGTTTTTATCGTTCTGCCCTCATTTTGGTGTTTGCTTCCCAAATCCCTGTGCCTCCTCTTGAAAAAAATAAAACCTCAGTTGCCAAGGAAACCCAGTGAGCAGGGAATTGGCAGGATTTAGCGCTACTAAAAAGAGCTACGGGAAGCCAGTTAAAGTCACAATTAGAAATGGATAGCCTCAGCCACGCAAACGAACAGACAGAAAGCCTCCGTGCCCACGTCACCGCCGGGCGAGTTCACACCGCAGAAAGCTGGCCCTGCCTGGTTGCAAGGGAACTGCTCAGTACGATGGAACCGCATCGTCTGCAAGCGTGCAAGGGGTATAACCCTGCCAGTACTTCCTAGCGTTGCTTTGTGCTTATCTCCTGTTCTTTTTGCTATAATTAAATGTGTACAGCACAGATCAGCTGGGATCGTGCAGGGTCCTGAGGGCTACAGCAGGTTTACTGCTATTGAACCCTGAGGGCAGGCAGGAAAGCTGGTGCCATGACACTGCCACACAAGCACCAAAAATGAGTAAAAACGGTGTTAAAGCTGGCACGAAACACTATCTCCCCAACTTTTCTTGCTATTTTAATAAAAAGGAATCCAGGCCAAATCTGTTTTCATTTTTCATACTGCTGTGGCATAGCAGGGATGAGTCCAGCTCCTGAATTTTAAATTACCCTGTTAAGATTGTCAGACTTCTCCTTTTTCATCCAAGAGGGAGGACCACTTCTTCCTTTCTCTCCATTTTAATGTTTTTTATAACAAAGACAGAAGAAGAGCTTCCACACAAAGAACCTATGGACTGGGTCTCTGCGTGTCCCAGACACGTCGTCTACCCAGCGATGGGGCAGGAACCTCCTGGTTTTGACCACAAATGCCATCCTGCACACCCTCCTCATTCGATGAGCACCGAGCTTGTTCTCAGGAAAAGATTCTGTTTCAGTTAACCAATATTTACTAACTATACAAAAAAACCCTCTTAAAAACTTCCCACCTACTTTTAGCTTTTACTTTTTTCAATACACGTAGTCCCCAGCTATTGAAAAAGTACACATTTTAAAACACAGGGGGGTTTTTTAATGAAACACAAACCAAAGATGTTAATTCACGTAAACGTTGGACAGTTTCTGCCCAAGCTGCCCCGGTACAAAGATGGCTTTGCAGGCAGGAGAGGGCACTTGGCTGAAAAACACTGTACTAGGTTACATTTCTGTGCCAGTGTTGGATATGAGTGAAGTTTCTATTTGTAATAAAAAAGATGAAATAACATGGACAATGACTAAGGGCTCTATGTCTTAGGTATGAAACTAATAACACTATTTGCAATATGATACAGAAAACTAGTATCTTGTTTCAAAGTAAACCACATTTTATTTTCTTTTAGAAAATCCCACTCTACGGAAGCAAACTACACTTTGAAATTATAATGTGATAACCACACCTTTTGGAGGCTGAAAACTCCCCCTGACGCTCAGGCGGTTGCTTTACCACGACGTATGATTACCAGATTATAAGGCATGGGGAGCAGTGCTAGCCACGCGGCTCCCATGCCCTGCACAGCCCGTGCTGCGTGTAACCTTGCACCTGGGACTTACGAGATTTTCCGGCTCGAAGCCTCATCAGCAGAGCGCAAAGTGAAGCCGCTCCAGAGGCAGTTGGCTGAAAAGCAGCTCTGGCGGCGTTTGAACTGAAGTTGCTCAGGCAGAGAAACCCATCTGATGGTATGTGAAAGGTGGATGAGAGCAGAGGAGGAAAGGATGCGAGAGAGAGAATTGGAGAAGAGCATTTGAAAGAGGGAGGGGAATGAAGGATGCAAGGAAGGAGACGTTGAAATGGAAAATATAAAAGGTAAGGAATGAAGGAGGATGTGAAAAAGGAAAAAGGACGGAAGGAAATGAAGAGAAAAAAAATGTAAGACACATGTAATGTATACCTGACATGTATTTCTAGTGTAACCCATCACAAGCACACCTCCCAAAGACAGAGAACAGAATCAGACATCCTCCTGCAAGCACAAGACTCTACCACTTCTCTGTCATAGTAATTAAAGATCAAAGAAAACCAAAAACACTAAGAACACCTTTGCAACATTAAAAAAAAAAAAAATCAACTGGTCAAGTGATTTTGCTGCACTCCACAGCCTGTATCTCTTTACCAGAACTGTGTGTCTGTCTCCTCTTCTCCACTGCCTGAGGTCTGTGAACTACATCTTCCAGGTATCACATCCGCTACCACTCTGGCTGTAGGTGGAAGGCACTCACTTAACATCAACTAAAGAGCCAACATTACCATTGACTGACAAACCAAAACCGAACCTCAACTGGAAGATGTAGGAAAAAGCTGCAAGTCCTCACTGGCTCCATCTTTTTTGGACTCCTTTATGCTCAACAGTACTATGTAACAAAACTCCACAAAAGCCAAAAAAAGTCAAGAAGTAAATGAGTAAAAGCCATTCAGTACTGCGCCCCTAGGTAACAGTACTGCTAGTCTAAAGGTGATGTTTAGTATGCTTTATAACAGTAAAGCATCGAAGGAATGTAACAGAGTTGACTGCCATTCAGTCCTGGGAAGTGATCCTGCCTTTTCTAGAAACTAAAAAAAACCCCAGTACTCGGAAAGAGAGACTTCACAGTAAAGCCTGGGGTTGTGCTAGTATTTACAGCAGGTTTGAAGGATGGAAGTGGCCTTTAAAAAAAAAGAAAAAAATCTTGTTCATAGCAGCATGGAAGGAATGTGCTGCTAGAAGAGACCTTTTTGGACGAGACACCAAATTGGAGCCCCAGACTGGCTGGGTCCATGGAAATCTTGAGGCACTCTTTGGAGAAGAGGAATTGCTTCCTCTGTGCAAGCCACATTGTACCTGATGGAAACGTATCGTGCATCCTTAGATCATTCTGCCATTGGAAAGGGAGGCAGAGTTATTCTTGTCTCTTCCTCAATTGCTGTGTAATGCTGCCCCGTGTTACTAGCTTAGCACTTCTTTCCACCTCAAAGACATCAGTACAATGACACATTTCCTATATATGTCAAGCCTACACTGTGAAAAGAGGGAAGATGAAAAATGTTCTAATTGGAAAACCATACTGACTCTTCTCACTTAGGCACTCGCTGTTTGCAGGTCACCCACTGCCTGATTTAACTCCTTACCGTAAAGTTGAGTGTCTACCAGAGCGGGAAATGCTGTTGCCAACTGGCGAGGGTAAATTACTGCCTCTGTGCAGGTCCTCAATAGATCGGCTCCAAGGTTTGGACTTGTCCATCGAGTTTTCCACATTGTTCTCCAAACTTTCAAAGTCAAACCTAAGGAAAGGAAAGGAAAGGAAACAGAAATTCCAATGCCGGGTTAGACAGAAAAGATGCACATAGCGTTTTCCTTCCTGTTCAACATCTGCAGATTTTAGTAGGTCCCGAAAGATTACAAAAAGAAAGGAAGAAGGCAACGCAGGCTAACTTCCCTTCGGCCACAATTCAGTGCGAGCTTCAAATGCATAGTGCAGCAAATCTGGACCTTGACAAAGGGAGCAACTAACCACACGAGCACACAATTTCAGAAGGATCAAACGCTATGTATTATTCTACTTCAATGTAACATAAATACAACGTTGGCTGCTTTGCTGATGATTAGCCCTGCCTTGAAGGAAAGAGGGAGAATGCTTAAAGCTGTCTCCATTTCAATGAATCAATATGTTGTGCAAGTACTAATTCAGTTTCCTCCATCAATATGTGACCAAGCACTTACACTGGCTTGCTGGCCCTCATGAATCTCCCAGCATATGTAATACATTACCATAATCATTACAGATTTTCTTTGATTTCTGACTCATTGCCCATTGTACTGCTATTTCAAGCAAAAATTGCTTGTTCCCCTTACAGCTTTTGAGGTTATTACTCATGTTTACCATGTTAGAGAGGGGAAAAACCCAGCAAGCTAACTTGCATACATTTGTATAATTTTAGGAAGATAGTCTTTATACAAACACTTCTTTTCGCTGTGCAGTTTTTTCCAGTGTTAGTAACATTTTAAAACATATAATTTTCCTTCATTAATTTTATTGCAACCCCACCAAAAATCTCTTTTCTGCACGATGGTATATATACATCTGATGGCATCTTTTCTAAAAATAAAACATCAACTCTACTCAGCTTGAGTTCCTAACTACAACAGTATCTTTAACCTACCACTTCTTTTCATACAATTTTATGCAAAAATCTATTGCTACAATATCCTGAAGTGAAAGCCTGTGGATATATAAAACAAGATCCTCAGCTGAACATCTATTTCAAATTGTGCGATATAATGACTAATGAAAGCTGATTTTTTTCCCAATTATTTTAATAGAGTACATTTAATGATTTATTATCTAAATGACTAAATCTGACTCCCAGCTAACCAGATGTCAGAACTGCAAAAGCTTGTTTCATAGTCTTCCTGACCTGCAAAATCACCTTGAAATTCCTACTCTTGTTTTGCAGTGCAGCTGCTGCACACAATGCTCACGACTTTGCTTGCCATGAGCCTTGTGAGAAATGGTTCGTGTGTGGATGTTGCTTTGAACATGGTAGGCAGTATTATAATTCCTTGGGGTCGGACACTAATTGCAAACCTATTTCTAAGGAAGCCTGCATGCTTCCACACATTTGTTGAATGTTTTTGCACTGTACCCCTAAGATGGTCAGAGGCCATTTGCAACAAATATGTCAGCACAGTCTTAGAGATAAATAATCTCAAGGCTTAAATTTAGGCTTTTTTTTCTCTGCAACATGTTATGATCCAATGGTTTTGGATTAACGTTACCATTTTCTCTGCTCTGAGGTACATACATAGTATTATACCAAGCTGCTGGCAGGAAAGCTCTGCTAGAAAAGCTGAGCATCTGCCCCGGCATTTCCCTCTCTTGCTCTGTAGAGATGGCAGGAGGCTTGCTTTGCCTTGCAACCTCAGAGACTACCAGGCATGTCTTACTTACGTGACTGCATACTGCGCAAATGACAAGTACTCCACCAGAACATCCAGGCCTTTGTTTTCTTCATTCAGGAACTCCCTGACCCATCTGTTAGAAAAATCATTAGACACCAGAGCATTTCACAGGCTTTGTGCAGTTACTGAAATTCTTGTCAGATAAAGTAGAGACAGATCCATTGCAGGAAAAGCAGCACTGCTGAGCAAAACTTTGCTTTCTCACTCAGGAAAAGAGGACTTTTCAAAAATGCCCTTTATTATTTACAGGACTTTAAAACAGTCCTTTAGAGGGCTTTACAAATCTACTGAAACGAGCTTTTTTGCAGCACTATGATGGGAAAAACATTCCACTAAAAAAAAAGCATAAAACCCCCTATGCCCGCTCTGCATTGCTCAGAAATAGAGGTTTGCTCTTCTAAGTACGGAGCTCCGGAGCTGGTAAGTGCCTTTCCCACCATAGCGGAGCTGCTGCAAGAGGGCCACGGGTGTGCCGGGGAGCTCGGCTGCTGCCCGGCTTCGCTCCAAACCCAGGCTCATCTCCTCCCTGGCACACGCCACTGTGCAAACCGCTGAGCAGTGGTTACAGCTGCCTTCTAAAGTATGCGTGGCTGGGTCCTGGTTTATTTTTTTCCACATCCTGATCTCTAGCAGTATTTCAAAAGCATACAGACAGCACACCAGCAAAAGAGTAACAGCTCCAAGGGCGAGATCTGCCATCATGGATGTACATTTAACAGTAATTTTGCCTTCTCTTTTTAAAAGATGTTAACCTATTACTGTGAATTTTGCAAAATAATCTTCAATTCAGAAAAGCCTGTTATCTTCCAAAGCTTTCAAAAACTCAAAAATGCCAAGTAAAGTTTGAAGATCCATACATCTGGGGGCAAACCCAGGCGAGCGAGGAGCCTCAGCACAGTCCCAGCTCAAACCAATCGGGGCAGCCAAAACTCCACTGGGAGTGGGTTAGGTGCCACGGGAACGAGTGGGGAGCCAGGGAGGGAACTGAGGCTCTGGGCTCGCTCTGCCTCTGGGGCCTCACAGCTATGGATCCCCTGCTCTCAGTAGAGTGGGAATTCATTACCTCTGAGTTATTCTAGTCTTCAGGCTTTAAATCTTTCGCTGTTTACCTGCTAAAATAAACAACCTGGCATTTTTATAAAACGTATTTTGTGAAACCAAATAAATAAACATTGGACTTGTCAGCCTCCTTTATTTATCTGGTGCACCGTCACGTTCCTTCTGCACACCCATGAACCTTCATGAATCTGCAGAGTGTCATGCTTCGGATGCCCTAAGTCTTCGGTGGGGAATCTCTTGTGTTGGAAAACAAGAGAAAACAGCAGGAGCCAGAGCAGGGGTGTGGGAGAAGTTTGTTGGAAATATTTGCGACGGTGCAGCTTGCGGGAGGGTCCCCCACTGCCATGCATGCTGTCCGTGCACACCACGCTGGGGAGCCGGCTCCCACAGAGAGAGAACGGCTATTCCTCCCAGTTTAAAATGCCCTTGTTTCCACAAAGTAAGAGCAGCATCCTGTAAAATCAATGTAATTGAGCTGGACACAGGGTGTGATCACAAAACAAAACACTGAAGAAACCTTCCTGGCTGATGTACCAGTGCTGAACTGGCTTCTGGTGTCGAGACCCAAAGCAGAGAGGTGACACCAGTGGAAACGTGGATGGGAACGGCATGCTCGATAAAAAACTGAAGTCTCTGAGATTCTTTTACTTTTGCTATTTGAAAGGAATTTTGTGCTTTGTAGAAGTAAAATACCGGGAATATTACTCACAGCCAGTCTTCATGAACTGCATCATGTTAAAGCTATAAAACAGCATGGGGGTTTTTTATACATATATTTATAGCTGCAATACTATTACTATTCTAGACACAATTGTGTTCACTGCTGCTCTGACTGACTTAGGGTGAGGAGAACTTGACTGCAATCTTTTCACAGCCTTCACAGAGATGTGGATGAACCCTATCATGAAAGGATTAAAGCTGAATTATTCTCCTGAGATGCCCAGTTATCCCTTAACTGAGCCCTTCAGGCCTTAACGATCAATCAAGTGGTTATCACTGCTTGACATGCAAAGAGATATTTTCTCAAAGGCATCCATCAGTAGATGTAAAAAAAAAAATCTTAGGACATCAAAAATTCTTACCCGATGTGATTTGTTCTTAAAGAAATTTCCAGTTCTCTGAGTACTTGAGTAGACTCTTGGACTCGTCTTCTGAATTTCTGTAATTGAGTGAGCAGGCAAATATAACAATTAAACTCATGTGATGCTATTAAAAATATCAACATCTCATGCAGTGCAGAATGAATAAATAAAAGATTAAGGTAAACTGAGAACCCCTCTAAATCCTGAGGAATGCAACAACAATAGTCCGGCAGTCAACAAAAACATACTCAGAAAAATAACTTCTGTTCCCATGCACATTCTTGAGTTTCCAGGATTAAAAAAATTAAAAGCCTGTAGATAAATAAACATTTCTTTACAATACAAGCTTTGTTTTAGTATCAAACTCTCCATTGAGAACTACAGCATTTGGGCTTCATTCTCAGCCTGGTGCTTTAATCTCGCTTTCGAGACTTTACACCCACACCAAAAAACCTGCCGTGATTTCTAAATAATTACCAAAACTGTGGGTGCAAGCCAATAATGAAATACACATGTGCTGCCATCTGCATGCTTTAATAATTTGTGCACACTAAATTGTATCTGCAAATACAGATGCTGAGAAAAGGCCATAAAACATAAGAAGTAAAACACTGGGCAGCAACACAGCACAAAGGAGATGAGATTTCGTGTCATCTCCGTATAGGAGCAGAAAGGGCGACCTGGGAAAACCTCACTGGGACACAGTGAGAGCCCCACTTCACTCCACGGCTCAAAGCAGGCACCGGTCATGGCAGAAGACCTCTAAACGCACACCGACTCATCTCGAGTCGAGTCAAGCAGCTCCTCTCCACCCTCTGCAAAACCAACTTGCAGCAGGGCTACCTTCAGTGTGCAGACAGAGCAAGTCAGCGAGGCCTCCTCCTCTCCCAGCTGGAGAGAGACTGTCGTCTTCTCTCCTGCCTGGTGCTCCTTGCCCATGGAAATCTACTAGAACAGCTGGATAAACTATTCTGGAGCAGTTGTTCTGGTAAATTCTCATTCGTGAACAAGCTAAATGAGAGCAGAATTGGATGGACAATGATAATCACCTTGGAATTGCAGCACTTAACAACCAACTTGGTCATCAGTTACAACACACACAGGCTTGATGTGTTTGGAAAGGGCTTATAAATGCTTAGGACTCAAGTGATGCTGCTGCAAGCAGGACTATGCTCTGAATACTAGGGAAAAAAGGGTTTGTTCTCAGCGCACCACAATAAACCCACAATAAAATCAAGGGGACTACTTGGCAGTTAATAATTGTCATGAGTTCATTTATTGAGGTGAAGATGATGAAAGGATAGGATTTACCTTGCCTTGCTGACCTGTGTGAAAATTACCAGCCGCCTTTTCAACCAGGGTTTTATCACATGCTAGTTAGCACCACTGGCTTACCTGAGGTAAGACTAAATCCCAGCTCAGAAAGCCACTGGCAGACTGAAATAGATGCCTCACTGTAAAGTCCTAGTAGACACAAGGCACTATTAATTTTTACTTTGAAATAGCTAGTTGAGATCAGACATACAGTTTCTCTGGACCTCAGTTAATTAGCTCAGAGTACGAAAACACAGTGCCTTCTCTCCTGAGAGAGTTTACACAATATAACTGCAAGCAATATAAAACCTTACCTCTCGAGAAGTAAAGGTAAAATATTGATGTAGCAAGAGGCAGACAGGAGACAGGGGTAGGAGGGCATGGCAGAAATAGGCAGCACGTTCCCACGCGGGACCGTCACCCCCCAGCGAGGCCAGGCTGCTCTTTGCAACCACAGCAGAGAGCAATGAACCGGCTCTGTGCTTTACTGGGCTCTAGGAGCCACCAAACTGCAATTTCTTCAAAAATGTGTAATTTCAACACTTTCATTTTCCTGTTTCAAAATTCAGCTCAGACAAAAAGCAATTGTTTTCCTGGGAAGAGCCATTATGACCCCAATTACAAGCCGAAACGCACATTTTGCAGCAGCGTTTGGAGCCACCTTCTCTTGGCCATGCTGGGGATCATCAGCAAAAACGCTGACACCACCTCAATTACAGCAATAATCCTGGTAATACGAGCTCTCCCCACAATATCGTGCGTCTGTCCAGAAGTGCATTTGTAAATCTTTCCGCCTCACAGCCCAGGCTGAGGAAAGGCTGCTGGTGATACAGAATAACACGACAAAAGAGAGGAACTCAATGGAGTTATTTTTAGGCTCCTCGGATTTTTCATTTGTCATGGGACTCTTACAGTGGTATTAGGATAAGAAAGGCTTCAATGTGTGCCCACGGAGTAACCACAGAGCAAAGCCAAACACTAAACGAATTTCAAAAACCCTTCAGGAGAAAAACACAAAGACCCCTGTTCACCATTTTTTTTTAAAAAAAACTATAATCAGCTACAGGCAAATTTAAAAGTTTCCTACTAAATGGTTTCCTACTCCTTGTTAGAGCCTCCAACAAGAGAAGCACTGTCAGAAGACATTACCGCAGCCTTGAAGACACGAGCTAGCGACGGCACACTGGAAGCACAGGGTACCCAGTGTCTGCCCCTCGCCTTTCACAGGGACGGAGGTGCACCTCCGCTGCGGCTGGAGCCGGCCGCGGCCTGGAAGCCCTGTGTCAGGATACGTATTTTACCGCAGGGCACCAACCTCAGCTAATTGTACAGCAACACAAAGCAGCGATTGTTGAGGACAAGGCAGAGCCAGTCAATGGCAGGATCTGCTATGCCCTCTCTGCCTTTTTTTGTTGTTTTTTTTTTTTTTAAAGGCTATTATAACTATCAACACAGGATATGAGCTGATATCCAAAGTGGTTAAATACCAAAGGTTCAGGTCCTCTAAATGGGACGTAGGTTTATTGTTATTCTAAAATCCTGCAGGCTATTACTAAGCCCATCAGAGCAGCACAGAAATATCAGAACCAGCCACAAATACATCCTGGTACAGAAGCCACATTCAGGGATGCACGACATTCACATGAAAGGCCAAGTGAAGTGCCTGAGTCTTTCATGAGTGATTATCAAACTATTTTGGACAAAATAATACGCAGAAGGACGGGTGAGGCTCTACCATGTAAACACACCCCAGGTTACGTCTTTACTTCGCAACCCTGAAAACTCAGGTGAGACTGCAAGCAAGAGGTGAACTGTGCCAGCTGTACTGAACTTCTGTCACGCAAATGCCCAGACAAAAGGACTCAAAACTTCAACATCCCCTTCACTCGGGTGAGAAAAGTGCCATCCGAGAGAGGTTTTATTCACCACCAGCACTGCCCACATGAAAAGTCAGACCTAGAGTACAGCTCAGTGATAATTTGTCAGACTATTTATTGAAGCTAAAGTTATTAAAACAAGCTGTTTCGTGTGTCAGATGGCCCTTTTCTTTGCAACATCTGTTCTCCTTTCTGAGCTGCAAAAACTGCAGCGTCTTTCCAACTTCTCTTTGCTTCTCTCTGCAGTTTGTTCCATCTCCGAGACTCTTCTCAGAGACTTTTACGGGGCCTTTTACACAAAGGCAGGAAGGAACCCGGACCCCGGGACCGTCCTCGCCGAGGAACGAGGGACGGGCGAGAGGAAACAGGACGCTCCTCACCTTCCTGGTTACAGCTGGGTCCAGATAGCCCTTCAACTTCTGGATGTATGTATGTGGAGGATTCTTCACTTGAAATCTTTCCTGCAAAGGATACAAAATGGCTGATGTTTATTCTTGTAACATCTTCTATATTTACTTACTATATATATAAAATGCATGCACACACATATGTATTTAAACAGTATATATTTATAACATAGTTTTATATGTATATACCTTATATTCATAAGTATATAATCTATGCATATACAATATGCATGCAAATAAAATATATTTACATGTATCTTGATATTCCAAAATTTGATATTTATATAGGATGCATAGAAATATACCTTACATATTCAATGACAATTTTGAATTTTAGTTACACATACAAACACACACATCTGAAATAACAGGGTTTCTGCTAGCCAGGAGTACTGAGGGAAAAGAGAAGCGTTAGAAGAGCTTGCCCATGTTTGATTGAAAGCCATCACCACAAAAACCGAGACACCTTTTTTATCATTTGGACCAAGCCTAAAAACACGCTGCACGGTCTGTTCATGGGAGAAGTCACATCATTTCATTGTTCAGACTCCAGAAAAATGAATGCCAGAGCGGCATGTTACCAATAAACAAGTAATATTTTAACTCCATGACATTAAATCGCACTGTCTTCGTAAGTGGCCCACCAGGTCCAGCCCAACCCTTACTGCAGGTTCCCGTTTACAGGGAGGGGCACCGGACTGGCGAGGGCAGAGAGCCAGACGGGCACAGGCAAAGCCTCCCCTGCCACGGGCACAAAGCGGTCACACAGTATTTGGGCCATAGTGAGTTCAGCTCGTCCTGGTGGAGCCCCACATGCGAACGACGACCAGCGCTCAGTCTTTATTTCCATTACAAAGCACGCACGAGCCTGGCCAGCTCTCCTGGCAATAGCGGTGCAGACTTCGTTAGCCACACAGGAGGGCTCTGCCCAGCCACCACACAGGAGGGCTTGTTTATTCTACCTTAATACACCCAACCACAGCAGCATCCCGCTTCCTACGTCAACACAACGTTTCAGCACCAACGCGTTCATCGTGCCTTGGGGTCAGCTCCCCACGCTGTTTCTGCCAGCACCGCTTGCGTGGGGAGCACGTCGGTCGTTGAGCTCATCCCAGCCACCCACGGCTCCCAGCGATTCGGAGCGCTTCCTTCAGCACTTGTGTCACACAAGGGCAGAACTGGTGGGAAGCAAGCCAGCAGACGCTAGCGAGACCACCGTTACACCACCACAGGCAAATTATGGACCAGATGCCCACCCCTGTCCCACTGGGAAAGCTCAGGAACCACCACGTGCCTCTCCTCCCCACTGAGGTTGGAGTCTTACCAACCTCGGACATGGAGAAAGGCAGGTTGTCCACGATTGTGGGCTTTACTCATCTCCTTACCCATGCCTGCTTTCCTGCTTTCTGTCGTACGCCAGCAGCGTGCCTGACTTCCCTTCCCCATCTCACCTGCTGCTAGTCCAGTGCCAAGAGATTCCCATCTGCTTTTAAGACTCACTTCTCACCAAAGGCTTCCCAATGCCCCACCTTACAGGGCGACACTTGATCTGCAATCCAGAATCAACCACATTCAGGATCGAATTAAAGATTTTAATGACAAATACAAGGTCTGTAAGGTTTGCATTCTGCGAGCTGCTTGATTTTTGCTTGCTTTTTTACCAGTTGCATGGCCAGTTTGAAACTTATCCTACAAAAGCTGCTGTGAAACACGAGTTGTTCTGCAAGGAGTATGCTATGTCCAAACCTGTTAAGAGCATTACCAAAAGTTCTGATACTATTTGTATCTTGGAAGAATTTTAAACTATTCTGCCCCTTCCCTTGAGGAAAGATCTCATAACAATTTCCTCCTGAAATTTCACATTTTATAACTGATATTTGAAACCTCCTTTTATTAGGTCAGGATGCAATTTTGACTACATTATCTGAAAGTTATTTCATAATGAATAGTACACTGCTGCCCAGTTACCAGAACGTACTGTCTGCACACCAAAAGTTGTTCCTGTTATTATCTTGCTGCTTGCTGTAAAAAAGTAATTCATCATGGTCAGAAGGAAAAAATGAACCAAAAGTCTGCCCTGTGGTCCATCAGCCCCGGGCGAGAGCTCTGTAAGACACAGAGCAGACATTTCTTTCCTCTTTTATAACTGGATTTTTTTTCCATGCACCTTCACATGTATGGGCCAAACACAGTCCTGGAATTGGCATTCCCTTTCTATCTAAAAAACAGTTCAAAAAATGCCAAGTTCTTTGTTGCCAGCTCCTCTCCGGCCAAAGCGACACCAAGGGTGTCTGCCCTGTGCCATCCTCCCCCAGCACCATGCCCACCGCCATGGCTTCCTCCGGCTCTATAGGCATGGCCATGCACCTTCACATGTATGGGCCAAACACAGTCCTGGAATTGGCATTCCCTTTCTATCTAAAAAACAGTTCAAAAAATGCCAAGTTCTTTGTTGCCAGCTCCTCTCCGGCCAAAGCGACACCAAGGGTGTCTGCCCTGTGCCATCCTCCCCCAGCACCATGCCCACCGCCATGGCTTCCTCCGGCTCTATAGGCATGGACACTTCGAGCCGGTCTCATCTCAGCTGGCCCACACAGGTCGGACAGTCCCTTTCACACCCTTGTCGTTAAATTTGCTGCTAATTGGAACTGCTGCCGGTGTGCGGGGAAAGACAGACGCACGAGACGGATGCACGGAGTCACAGGCAGGTTTGGAAACAGTGTGCCAAGGCTCCATCACACAGCTCCACCAGCGCAAGCAGAAATCATCTGCCACATCCCGAGAGGTGGGCGACGGTCAGCCCTCGCATCCAACTCTCTGGAAAATGGGAGCAGAAACACCCACAGATGTTGACAGGGACTTTAAAGGAAATAAAAAAATAAATTAAAAAAAAAAGCACATAAATTAAAAAAAAAAAGCACATAAAGTAAATCAGTTAAAAGAATAAGATGTCAATATTCAAAGTACCTTAACTGCTAGCTTAATTTATGCACTTTTTACAGGACACTGCTAGGCCAGTTTCTCAGTCAGACTTACAGCTCCCTCAGGATACCGTGGACTGTGGCTTTACAGTGGGCATAAATATAAGTTATTTAGAAGCAATTTCCATCCATTAACCCATTTTAGAACTTCTTCACACTGGCACACAGACAAAAAAAACCACTTTGCTGTAAATGAGAATCTGGCCTATTGTAGACTAGTAAAGAGTTATAGAGGTATCTGGACCTCGGAGACCACTGCCGTTTCTCATTTTTCCCCTCAACAGTTTTATATTAGCTCCAGAGACATTACAGCATTTGAATAACCATGTCCTTCTCTACAAAGTAACACAAAGGTAGAAGTGTTTTCACTGTACCACTTAATAACCATGTCCAAATATTATTCTTTGCATCTGCAAGTGATGGAGCAAAGTGGTGGAGCACCAAGCCGAAGGTCCACTCTTGAAGAGTGGTGGGCGACGTGAGAGCACCAGCGAGCAGCAGGCACGGCAGAGTCCCAGACTAACAAGGCTCCACGTTAGCTCTCATATTTATTCCTCCCCTTTTTGGGGGGTTCTCTCCTGCCAAGGTAGTTCTGCTGTGTTTAGTCTAATCCTCCAGAGAAGCTATTTCACTCTTACGGATTTATTTCTCTTATTAACTAATCAGCCATCATCTGCTAAAGTGACAGGAGCTTTTCCTAACTGCCAGTTTTAATATCTGGAGTCTTCAAAATGAAATGCTTATGGAGACTCAAAGAGCACATTTAGTAGTCTGTGATGCAGATACTATACGTTTTTGTTTGTTTTCTTAAAACCTAGCTGTAATTATGTATTTATGTAATAATCTCTACAGCGACTTCATTAAAAAAGATGCTGCTCATTACTGTATAGTGGAATTGCATGTGCTGAAGAATTTTAAAGACATTATCCATGAACAGCAGATACCAGCAATGCTCTTCTCTAACTAGTGACCAAGAACCACTTGTGGTAAACATCTACTAGTCCTGGAAACATTTTTATAGCCCCTTAAAGTGTTTTTTCTGCTGCGGAAAGCCAAGAGGGATTAGCCTTTAAAATTGCCCTTTCCTGGCTACAATTACTGTCTCAGTTTATCCAGCTTTGACTGTTTTATATTAGAGGCTCATACATTGCAAGCTGCAAGAACCAGGACTCGGTGCTGTGCAGCGACGGCAGCCCGAGGCTCCCCGACGCCTCCGGAACACCCTGAACGTCTGCTTGCAGCCATCATCCTCCCAAAAAACTGATGCTCTGCCAGAGCTCACACGGGGTGAGAAGGCATGGTGCTGCGCGACTGCAGTCTGGTATTTCGCTTGCCATGAATGCTGTAAGTGACTGTGCAGGCTGGCCAGCCCAGGGTCCTCTCAAGGTCCTCTGGTCCTTCTTGAGAGCATCTACTTCCCTGTAGAGACAAACACGCTTCCCAGCTAACACTGTGGCACTTCACTCGTAACCCACTTGCCTTAGATACTGTAGATAATGAGTTAAAAATTGTTGCTTTTTCCTGTCTGCTCCTCCCCTCCATTTTTGGCAATTTGCAATCGCTCACTGGCCAAATCTGCTTTCAAAATAAGAATTTATACAGCAAGGGGTTTAACGCTATTTGAACGAGGAGGTTGGGGATTTTTACCACACACATATAAAGTTTAAAATCCCTATTTGAGTCTCCAAACTTCACTGAGCAAAAAGCATAAGCCAGTGGGTGACATCATGACTGGGACATGGTGGCTTCCCTTCCCGGTCGCCCCAGGACTGGGCCATTCAGACACAACAAAGTTAATAAATCCCAACGAAATCTATTTTATCTCCACTACGTGACTCATATAAGCACCAACACTATCTACAGACCTGAAAGGAGAAAGGCGCAGACCAGCAATAACTCAACCCTGCCTTTGTCAGCCACCTAGAAAGCAAACTAACTTAATTTCCCAAGGATAAAAGGCTCTTTCTTACTTTAAAAATTGCTGAGGAGTGGTGCTGTAAGCCAGAACGACAGACAAGCGCAGAGAAGGACATACAAGGAGCCAGTGGCACCGGACCGGAGAGCAGTGAGATG